GCCTGGAATCTTCAAAGTGGTCAAGATTTGAAAGTCAAGGAAGTCTAAGGAATTCTTGATTGAAATAGACTAATAAGCTATGAATACTAAGTGCAAAGTGAGATCCTGGGTTGGGCATCATTGGGATAACTGAAGAAAGGTAAATCTGGTCTGTGGATTAGATGATGGTACTATATCACAGTTAATTTCTGGATTTTGATGGTCATAATTATTGTAGCTTTGTAGAAGAGTGTCCTTGTGTATAGAAGTTACTCAGTAAACACTATAGGGGTGATAGACCATTATATTGGCTACTTACTCTCAACTGATTCAGGGAAATCGAGTTATTTGTCCTAGTCTGGCAACTTCTTTTAAAAAATATATTTTTATTGATTTCAGAGTGGAAGGGAGAGGAAGGGAGAGATAGAAACATAAATGATGAGAGAGAATCACCTATCTGCTGCCTCTTACACATCCCTCATTGGGGATTCAGCCCACAGTCTGGGCATATGCCCTGACCTGGAATGGAACCCTGACCTCCTGGTTCATGGGTTGATGCTCAGCCACACCAACAACTTCTTATTTTGTAGTTAAATCTGAGATTATTAAATAAGACACCCCCTGGACTCCCTCTTCTGTTAGTTGATTAGTACTTCAAATTTGTTTGCTTATCAAACAAACCATTTTAAGGGGTTTGCTTCTTTGAGTTGTCTTGACTTTTAACTGCCCTGTCACTGTGGCTTCCTGTTGTATATTGATTGTCTTTTGCTATTTTGCTTCTAGATATTCCTCATCACCTCATTAATACAGTGGGGCCTTGACTTACGAGTTTAATTCGTTCCGTGATGGAGCTCGTAACTCAAATTACTCGTATGTCAAATCAAAAAGTGAATGAGTGAGACACGTGATGCTGGGCTGATGTTGTGGTGTTCACTGTGACGTTCGCTGCGCCAACTAGTGGTTGGGTATCTGAAGCTGGCTCGTAACCCGAATTTTAGCTTGCAACTCAAAGCAAAAAATCGGCTGAGAGAGATGGCTCGTATCTCGAAAAACTCGTTAGTCGGGACACTCGTAAGTCAAGCCCCACTGTATGTTATTTTCCTTGCCCATTCTTTATTTCCCATTACCTATGTTTGCCTTCTGCAACAAATTACTTCTTTCAGTGAGAAAGTCTGGTTTACAGAAAGATGGCATTTTACTGCGATGCAATTCTGTGATAATGATGCATTTGAACTTACTTTGTTATGCTATTTTTTTCTCCTCTGTTCACTGGTGAGCTGTTTAAGCTTTCTTTTTTTCACCACACTCCTTCTATCCCAGAACTGAGCATGTTTCAATAGGTTTTTAGTAAAAGGTGTTGGGCTGGTTGATTGCTGTCTTAGAATTCAGAGTTTTCAGAAAGTTTCAGCAGGGTAAGGGGAATTTGGTAGAGTGACAAATGTGGTGCTCTACTAATTCATATCTAGTCAGCTCATGCCTGTGTTTGTGAATGGTTAGCCCCACAGGTTTAGGATTATGCATATTGGGACCAAGCATATTGTGTGTGATTCGGAATGGGGGAGGGTAGCTGTGGGGAGTAGATGAACTGTCACAGCAGCCTTCTCTTTCTGAGAACAGCACTTGCCAGTTGTCTGATTGGTAGAATCTCTCTTCCCCCCTCAGTATAGAAAATCATGGGTTACAGGCCTTGAATTGCCCATGCCCACCCCATACCTTCATTTCTTTGGTAGAACTAAAGTCCATCAGAGGTCTTGTTTTCCTTAAATAGGTTGGAGGACAAACTTCTCCTTAGCAGTTACACTGATTTCCACATTTCTCAGAAGGCTCAAGGAATAAAGCTTTTAGAAACCCAGAGCAGCAGTTACATTGCTCTTAGTATACACCCACACATACAGGCTTTTCTTCAGCATTTTATTTTTCCCTCTCGCTGCTTTTACAGTGTAGGTGGCCTTCTCCGGATTGCTTTTGACAGGAAATTGAGCAACCTTTCTTTTTTGGAACAGAATATATTTTACTGCTGAGAGAGAGAGAAGGGAAAAAATGAAGTGTTTATGTTTTGAAATTTTATGATGAGTTTTTATTTAAAGATCAATTTAGATCTAGAAAAATGGAGGAAGGGGTTAAGTTTCATATTGCGCACTAATATTTCTCAACCTTCTTAGTAATTTTTGGGCCCTTTTGTGTGTGTGTGTGTGTGTGTGTGTGTGTGTGTGTGTGGAATGCTCTGGGTGTTCGCAATGGGCAAAACTGGGAAAACAAGTATTAGGGTGGGACCTCATCCTCAAGTGACCTTTCTTCCCCTAGCATATAGCTGGTTAAGGGACTCGGAGGGGACCCTCCCCTGACGTTTCCTCCCCTGGCAGGTGGTAGACCCTTAGAGGAGGAACAAGGGGGCCGGAGAATAGCCTCATATGACTTCCATACAAGCCTGCCTGATCACTCCCTTAATCATTAAGCCCTCAGGACAATGAGGTTCTGGTCTGCATCAAATATTCTTAGAAACAAAGCCTCGGGTCTGTTGACCACAGAAACAGAGTTTTGGTCATAATAGAGATAACAATTAGGCCTCAGCTGTGTTTCAGCTCTAGGCCTATAAAAGCAGCAAAATCAAATGAAGCAACTCCATGACTGATTTGAGGGCCAGCTGCAATGACCATTGACCCCCTAGCTTGTACCAGTCAGTAGAGACCACAACCCTAAAGGAACACACCTGGGAAGCTGCTGAATGTGCTATTGAAATCCTCCCCTGAGATTTCCCTTAAAATCCTGCCTTTGGGGAACAGATAAAACCCCTTAAGAGGAAGGACCCTTCTTTCCCCTTCTTCCCTCAGATGTGCTCTCTCTTTAGAGCAGTGGTTGCCAACCTTTCCGGCCTCACAGATGTGGTCCGCAGATCACCAGTTGGCTACCGCTGCTCCAAAGGTTTCCTTAAACCAGCGGGTCGCCAACCTTTCGGACCTTGTAGACCACCAGTTGGCGACCGCTGCTTTAGAGCATACCCTATGCCTTTCCTCCCGTTTCTTTCATCAAGGTGCATACTTTTGCTTTCTGAGTCCATGCAGCCCGGCTGGCTCACTTCTTCTGCCTCTGTGACTTTCTAGCCAAACTCAAGGACCAGGTCTGACTTTCTGGTAACACCTGGTGTCTTTTGCCATTACGATTAACAAAACAAAGTATGTATTTTGAGTGTTAGAAGTTCCTTGACCCATTCTGTGGGAGCAATCTGTAGACCAATTATATAAAAAAATGCTAATTTTCCTATGTTCATAGCAGCACAATTCACCATAGCTAAGATCTGGAAACAGCCTAAGTGCCCATCAGTAGATGAATGGATCAGAAAACTGTGGTACATCTACACAATGGAATACTATGCTGCTCTAAAAAGGAAGGAACTTTTACCATTTGCAACGGCATGGATGGAACTGGAGAGCATTATGCTAAGTGAAATAAGCCAGTCAATGAAGGAAAAATACCACATGATCTCACTCATTCATGGATAATAGAGACCATTATAAACTTTTGAACAATAATAGATACAGAGGCAGAGCTGCCTCAAACAGATTGTCAAACTGCAGCGGGAAGGCCGGGGAGGGTTCGGGGACAGGAGGTAGGGGGGTAAGAGATAAACCAAAGGACTTGTATGCATGCATATAAGCATAACCAATGGACATAAGACACTGGGGGATAGGGGAGGCTAGGGGACTGTCTAGGGCGGGGGGGGAAAAATGGACACATATGTAATACCCTTTGTATTACTTTAAGCAATAATAAAAAAAAAAGCTAATTTTATTACCTGGAATATCTGACTCAGAATATCCTTTTATAGGTTTCATTTCTCCCAAGTTTTCTTCTGCTCTGCATACTATTTGATTATGGTAGGGTAGAAAAGACATGTTGCAGGGTTGCCCTGAGCTCTATAAGATCATAGTGTGGGGACAGAGTAGTCCCTCAGTAAGTCTCATTTTGCATGCAGTTAAAGTAAGCTGTGAAGTGCTTTTATATTTGGCTGAATAAAGGTGGGAGCCCTAATATCCAAGGTGATAGGCTGGGAAGAGGAATTTTCCTTCTTGTCCCCATCAGGAATTGGGAATATCTGTGAGGGAGACTAAGGTCTTATTCTTTTACTCTTAACTTCTGTTTTCTATGTTTGGGAACAGGGTTTGGGAGGTAACATAATTTGAAATACTGTTTCACCTCAGCAAAAATTTCAAAATTTGTTTCTTGAAAGCTCTGATGGACATGTATAGTCTGGTTTATTTTAATATTTTTAGAATAGTACATGTACTGTAAATTATTAATATTGACCACGTTTGTGGGTTCTCTGAACTAATAATAAGCTTAGCAGTCACAGGAGATGCTTATGACTGTAGCTTATAAACCTACCTGAAGTGACCAGTGTGAGAACTGTAGAATTTATCAGTTATCACGATGCCTGGCTGCTTTGGAACAGAGCTTCTCAATCTTACGATTATTGACATTTTGGGCTGGATAATGGTTTGTAATGGGGGGCTGTGCTGTGCATTGTAGGGTGGTTAACAGCATTCCTTGCTTCTATCTTTTAAATGCCAGTAGCATATCTCCCACCTCTATTGTGATTACCACAAATGTCCTGGCATTTCATAATGTCCCCTGGGTTGCCCCCTAATGAGAACCACTGGTTTGGAATAGTGGTTGCCATAGGCAGATGATGGACTAACTACATCAAAGTCACCTAGTTGGGGAGGTTCTTACTCATTCAAGTCCTTGGATTTCTTCCCATTTGTGTCGATATGAATAGCCAGGTTTAAGAATTTGTTGTTTAAGTGGGAGTGGTTGTTAGTTGACTTAAATTTCAATGTGTTGAACTGTACATAGAGAGTTTACAAATGAAAGAGGGTTTTAGAGGTAAAGTACATTTTGCAATTATGATTTTATTTGTAGTGGTGATTTTCCCCTTTTTATTTCTATGAGGTACCATTGTTTGCTTTTCAAATGTTGAAAAGAACTTTGTTATACTAAACTTTATAATTATTTTAATCTAGGTTTTGAAAGAATACCTCAAGTTGGACTCAAAGGCAAGAACTTTGAAGTGGAAAAGGGTGAGTTGGTGGATTAGTCACTAAGTCCTGTTGGGGGAAGGGAATGTCACTCAAGTGTTCATTCTTAGAAGGCCAGCTGCTTATAGCAAAATTTTGATTTAGCAAATGTGGATCCTATTTTCCCCCCATTGTTTTTTCCTCTTTTATTGTTTTTCTTCTGAGAGGCAGAAGAGAGGAAACCCCTGTCTCCATCTTTATAGATAAAATAGTTCAGATATTTTTCTGGCTACTTAAATTAGTAATGTGAAGGTTTTCTTGTTCATGTTTATGTTTCTGCTCCATAGTAAATGCATTTCAAAAAATCTGTGTTTCTTAAATTGTGATTGGAATTTATCACGTTCTAAATACGAATCCCGTTAACCTTGATACATTAGTTTGGAATATCCTGAAAAATTCTGAGGTGGTTGGATGATCTACTGTTTGACAGACATTTGCATTTGATCATGTAGTGATTGTAGTTGGGTACTGCTAGGTAGAAACCTTGTTCTGTCCTAGGCCTATCCTAATGTTTTAGTGGACGTTTCTCAAATATTTTCATTAGTTTAAAAGGATATTCTCATTGAGAAGAATAACAGCTTACTTTGATTGAAAGAGACTTTTTTTTGTAGGCTGAAAATGCTATAATATGCTCAACTCGTAAATTCAGATAAAACAAGTGGTTTGGGTTGTGTAGGTTTCTTTGATTTTCTTACTTTGTACTTAACCTTCATCTCAGCCAGATGCTGAAACAAAAGTCTTGGGTTTTTTCTTCGCTGCTTTGTCAGGAACAGAAGCCAGTTAGTTGCCTGAGGAGTCAGCTCCTCTGACGCTGCATCCCCCAGGGTAGTCACGGTTCTCTGAGCACCTCACCCCTTGCCACCTTTGCTCAGCGCTTACTGCTTCTTTCCTGAAGTCCGCTGGGGAATTGGAGCACTGCTCTCAAAGTGGCTTGCTATTTCTGACCTTCTTGAATTTCAGTAAGAGAAATTGGGGAATGATTATTTCTGAAAATGTTTTTAAACTACATGAGGACACTTTGCTTCTGGCACTTATTTGACGATTCCCAGCGTCATTCTTTTTTAATAGAGCTGGAATCTGAGAAAGAATTTTAGGTCTCTGTAATTTTTATCCATGAAGCGCCCATGTTTTTTATTAGCAACCAAATGAAAATGTGTCTTTGGGAATGAAGTGTCTTTTTAACCATCAAGAATTCCTTAGCGGTGAGCAGCAGCCTGCCAGGCATGCTCCATGAAGGTCGCTGTAGCTCAGGTACTGTGTGAGAGAAGAAAAATCAGTGCGTATTATGGAGTGCTCAGTGGTTCCCATCTCAGTCTTGTAAAGTTGTTTTCAAGATTGTTTTTTTCCCCCTCCTGAGAATCATATAGAAATGTGCACCTTCAGTGCTGTCTCTATGTCTTATGGCACTTTAAACACTTTTGAATAAATAACTGCTGGTTGATATACTTGAGTGTGACAGTTTTTAGCATAGGCCTTAAGTTTTAGTTTTATTATGAAGCCAGGCTTGTTTAAGCTTTGATGTCGTAGCAGCTACACCTTGTTTTTTGAATTAGTTGCTTAGCTTAATAACCTGAGATGTAACTCATTTGTTGTTGAATGGCAGTAATAACTGAGGAGGCTGGTACTGCAGGTTGGGTGGGGGCTTTTTCTCTGAGGCATTCGTACTTGCTCAGGTCTACTCAGACAACAGACAGGGGAGGCCGCGATGGAACGGTTTTCTAGACCTGTTGCTGGCCTGACTCTTCCTTGGCCTTCTGCATGGGTCGTGCTCTTTCCTAAAGTGCTCTCCGTGTAAGGGATACCTAAACAATTCCCTTCCTCTGAAAGAAAACAAAAATCCAGAATGTCTCACACACCAAAACCCAACCCACAAAACCTGTGTTTTATATGTAGCTCTATGTGTATCTTATTAAATCTGTCATTCTTATATCTTTTTACTTATTTTTTAGTAGTATTTTTCTAGAATTATAAAAGTGAATGAAGAAAACACACCCTTTCCCTTTCCTTTACAATTTTTAAAAATTGCTATATTCTTTGTAAATACCTAGCAAGAAACATAGAGTGATGTTATCCCAAGTATTGATAATGATATCTAACTAAATTAAGCATTTTCCCAAGTATTAAATTTTTTGGGGGATTTTCCCCTTCTTTTTTAAAAAAATATATTTTATTGATTTTTCACAGAGAGGAAGGGAGAGAGATAGAGTCAGAAACATCGATCAGCTGCCTCCTTCACACCTGCTACTGGGGATGTGCCTGCAACCACGGTACATGCCCTTGACTGGAATCGAACCTGGGACCCTTGAGTCTGCAGGCCGACGCTCTATCCACTGAGCCAAACTGGTTAGGGCCCCCCTTCTTATATAGATAATTATGTAGTCATAGGTAGGTGAGATATTATTTAAATTTTTCAGTTATTTCAGTTTAGTTATTGCATCCCAGACTTCAGATTTTAATTGAGGAAATTTAAAAAACTCTCAACTTCTTCCTTTTAAAAAAATAAAATAAAAAAGAATAACATGGATCACATTTACTTAAACTGATAGCTTGCTGGTAGAATACACAAAAGTAAAGACATACTTTTTGTTGTTTTATGTGAAGTTAAACTATTTAATAAGTGAAAAAACGCTCCTGGACTTTTCTTGTTATATGTGGTGGAAGCAAGAAACCTAATAATCATAATGCCTTCCATTGGCCAACCAGGCAATAGAATGATGATAGAAGATTCAGAGGTCAGTTAAAAATGGGCACGAGAGGGTAAGGACACCTACCCTCTCATGTCCATTGACGTGGTGCACCCTATCTCTCTTTACCTCATTATTCTAACAAATTATGTTTTCATTACAACATAAAAGAAATGCTGTGCCAGTGACAAAGACAGTGACTTAAATAATAATAGTACTTTAAATATATTAACTCTAGGAAGAATATAACTGAAATGTTTACCTTGAGTAGACTTGTTAGATTCTTTGCGTCAACCTAAATTGAAGTTTCATGGTGGCAGTGAGGGTACAAAATGGAGATAACTTTTTAAGATAAACACTAGATGAAATTGTATGAACTAAATGCTAAGTATAATGAAAATATTAAATATTTAGAGTAGCAAAGGGATGATTGCAGAGTTTTCCTTTTATCTTTGGCCATGATTAATTTGAATTGAGTTTGGCATGCCTTGAGGTCATCTCAGAATTATTTTATGATGCTTATTTATTATGCATAGCCTTCTTTGTTCTTGAAAAAAGAAAATTGATGAAATTTTTTTGCCTAGCAAACATTTTTATCAGCCTGCAGAACTGTGATATGACCCCTTCACATTTACTAATGCTCTTATACCCTCTTCTCTTCCATAAGGACAGTTTATTCTCACTGAATCCTTATCTTGACGTTCTTCAGAAATTTAGAGTGCAGCGGTCCACCTCAAATAGAGAGATGCCTCTTTTAAGCTCATTCTAGTGGCAAGTAGCACACATGGTTGGAAGAGTGCCTTATTTCTTAGTGCACACCTCAAGTCATTTTCTGAGCCCAGGATTTGTACAAGTACAATTCTTCGTGATGCTACCAGGTGACCCACTTTCTTGACTGTCTAGTTAATTTAAACTTTGCTAATAGGAGTGATTTGGACAAACGTGTAAAGAAAGGAATCAGAAAATAGAGAAGTAAGAACACGAACTGTGTATGTGAATGTGGTGGCGGTCAGGGTGGGATTGTGCAGAGCTCTGCCCTCCCCTCCTGCTCTGGCCTGACTTCATAAATTGGGTGTGTGAAAGCATTTGTGAAGACCTGGCTTCTGGGACCAGATCACAGGGTGGAACTAGAGATGAAACTTGTGGAGAGCTTGCACCTGCCATTTCTTTGTGATATACTGATGTTTCTCAAAAAGTTTGGGAAACTTAGTGGTGGGGGTTTGAGTTTGAAACCTGACTTTATTTAATGTTTGTCAAACTGAAGCATATTTTAGACTAGAGGCCTGGTACACGAAATTCGTGCATGGGGAGGGGGGATGTGTCCCTCAGCCCAGCCTGCACCCTCTCCAATCTGGGACCCCTCGAGGGATGTCCAACTGCCCGTTTAGGCCTGATCCTGGCCTAAACGGGCAGTTGAACATCCCTCTCACAATCTAGGACTGCTAGCTCCCAACCGCTCGCCTGCCTGCCAGCCTGATCACCCCCTACCCACTCTCCTGCCAGCCTGATCGACGCCTAACTGCTACCCTGCTGGCCCGATTGCCCCCAACTGCCCTCCCCAGCCGGCCTGGTCACCCCCAAATGCCCTGCCCTGCAGGCCTGGTCACCCCCAAATGCCCTCCTCTGCAGGCCTGGTCACCCCCAAATGCCCTCCCCTGCAGGCCTGGTCCCACCCAATGCCCTCCCCTGCCAGCCTGGTCCCACCCAACTGCCCTCCCCTGCAGGCCTGGTCGCCCCCAACTGCCCTCCCCTGTAGGCCTGGTCGCCCCCAACTGCCCTCCCCTGTCAGCCTGTTTGCCCCCAACTGCCCTTCCCTGCTGGCCCGGTCACCCCTAACTTCCCGCCTTTGCCAGCCTGGTCGCCCCCAACTGCCCTCCCCTGTTGGCCTGGTTGCCCCCAACTGCCCTCCCCTGCCGGCCATCTTGTGTGTTGGAGTGATGGTCAATTTGCATATCACCGCTTTGTTAGATAGGATGTAAAAAGAAGCTGTAAATATCTTCACTGTTATTTGAGTGGCTTTCATCAAAATAATGCATGCACAATTAAGGCTACACGCTGGTGAAGTCAAGTAGGCCATGTCCTTGGGGTCTTGGTACTCCTGGGAGGAGGGCTCTATTGTGTTCTTTTGGAAATGATTTTTAAGCAAGATAACGGAGAGATGAATAGGCTACTGCTCACATCTGCACATATTAAGGTCTCTAGCAATTTGAAAACACGAGAGGTGTATAGTGCAGCCCTTCCACGGGATGCAAGCCTCTTCAGAGCAAGGGAAGTTTCCAGACAATTGTTTGTCTCAGCACATGGCTAGCTCTGCGTTCT